CACACACACACACACACACACACACACACACACACACACACACACACACACACACACACACACACACACACACACACACACACACACAGAATGTGGTGCCTTTCTTCAGGACATGACAGGACAGAAGTTGCTGATAAATGAAACTGTTGCAGACACAATTTTCCTGCCCAACTGCCTCCTGGCCTGATGATTGAAGACAGCAATCAGCTGACATCTCTCTGCTCCGCTGCCTCCATCTGACCACAAATTATCATCTTTGATTTGATTAGATCGTTTTTGAGGCGCTGCTCTTATTCAGCTGAACTGATTTTCACACTGAAGCTTACCTCAATAATAAATAAAAATCTGTTTATTTGTTTTTACTCAAACAAAATTCAACCAATTTTCTGATTTATCGCTCCAAAGAGAGTCCTGTCATTGAGGGTTTCCTGAGTCCAGCGGATGCTGTTGAGGGTTTGTGGCCAGGTAAACTGGAGCTGTGCTGTTCAAAACCACAAGTGAACTCCTGACTTAAASAAGCTTTACAGAAAACCACAGGTACACACAAAGATCTGCACCACATACAGCTCCACTCTGTGAGCAGATAAAACACTGTTTGGGTGTCACAAGTCTTTCTTACCTTTATGCTTTATAAGAACATTTAAATAAATACTTCTTAAACATTTTCTTCACTTTTGCAAACAATTCTTGATGCTAGCATCACAAAGATGGCTCACTATTTATCCTGGAAACCTGAGCTATCAAAAGGACCTTAAAAATGTGAAAAATTAAGAGCTAATAGTGCATAAGAGTCTCTTCTTTGAGGGCAGCTGTCTCGAGACTGGAAAGCCACAAGTTTGATTTCCCATCATGCCCGTCTGTCACGGTGTCGTTGAGCAACAACTAATCCCTGCCTGATCCTGGCACTTACATTGCTGCCCGCTGCTCCACTGGTGTGATTCTCACATGAGAGAGGGATCAAATGCAGAGGACACTTTCACTTTCTGTCTCTCCCAGAGTTAAGTCTGATTCTCAAAGCTAAGTGTCTTTATAGGATTAAAAAAAGAGTCCTTTTAAAGTTCCCTGTTGCACACTGTTTTGAGATAAACAACTGATATTAATTATGATATATTTCTTGAATAAACAWCTCTTCACTTTAAATAATCCCGACTTTAATTCACAAAGAAAGAGAGCACATCTCTTCACAAAGTCTCCTCATACTCTGTCTTTATGTTTACAATATGTTCCTTTCTACATCAAAGTAAGGTTGGGCAATTTTGGCAAAAAAAGGCAGTGAAAAACAGACAGAATCATGGAAAAAAAAACACCTCAATCCACCCTCTGGTCTCATCACCACCCTGCAGAACTAACAAAAAAAACCCTCCTTTCTGACTGACATCTCTGACATCTACAGGAAGAAGAAGAAAAAAGGAGAAAGTTAAATGAAGTTCAGTGGCCATTGAAAGACGAAGAGTAATTAGATTTGAGATATTTACGATTTTAGTGTGTTTAGATTTTATAGTTAGGGTGTAGTTTAGTGAGTTTATATTTGAACATGGGGCTGCAAACACAAACTTTTCAGACAGCGAGGGAAGCTGAAAGACACAGATGGAGACTGAGGACTTTGACAAAGAAGTAGGCGACACATTATTTGGATTAGAAAAGGAGCACCAATAATCCCATTTTAATCATGTAATAACCGGTGAARGTTATTCTGATTCTTAAACGCACACGATATGATTTGCCCAACCCATCGAAAGTGTTACAACTTTATTCTTAGGATTTAAATTGAGAACTTATTTTTCTGACATTACTTGTGAAGCACTGAACATAAATGTTAAACATAAAAAAGTTCAAAAGCAGGAACCACTCATGGGAAAGAGAAAGTTTTCAATTTCATTATCAGGCTCTAAAATGATTCAAATCTAGACCGAGGTGTAGAGAAAAACACAGATTCATTCCACCCTGTCCTTATTTAGAAAGAGTCCAAACTAATCATGGCACCTAAAACTGAAGTAAAACCACGGGGAACTCAATCATCCCGTGTTTACGTCTGCTTACCTGGAAGTCAAAGACACAGAGCTCCACAGCATCCGAGGGCTGGCAGTTTGCCAGGAAGCTGTGCTGGTTGAAGACACAGCCCACGGTGCGGTACGGGGACGAGGGTTTGGGTTGAGGGCTGAGGGGAGGGGCGTCTGGATCGATGGCTCGGTGCAGATATCTGACCACACATAAATAACAAGAAGGTCAGTAAAAACATGCTCGGATTTTATAAACATAACGAGCTGGATGCAAACACAAAAGATCATTTTTATCCCACACTGAAAACAGCTGTTCACTGGCTGAAAGCCTGGCTGCCACTTTTCATAAAAAAACATCATAAAATTCTGCTGACAAAAAAAGACATTCAAAAAGCAAACTATATGATTTGTAATGAGAAGATGTACCACGTAATTCATGTTTATTTTTCCCAAATGTACCAAATGTACATATTTTAAACCAGGGGTTCTCAAACCTTTTGGGTCTGAGGACCCCTTACAAATGTGAAACCTATCCATGGACTTCCTCACAAACCCCATGCTGTTTTAAAAATAATTTACTGTCATTTTAACTCCTAAATATTATGAGAATATTATGCTTTTGTTTGGTTTAGTATGTTTGTTTTACTAGTGTATTGTTCCTCATGTTCATTTTTCAAATAAAATCCAAAATAACCATTTATTGAAAATTTTTGAGGACCCCCAAGATAGGGCTCGTGGACCCCTGGGGATCCTGGGACCCCAGTTTGAGAACCTCTGTTTTAAACAACACAAGCAGGAACATGGATAGGAACTGTCAAATGCAGAACTCAGTCAACACAAGTGCAGCTTGCCCGTGCACGTCGTGACTTTAGAGACTTTCTTCTCGCACCAGATCAAACTTTTACAGTAAAGTTACTAATGCATGTGTAAAGGTGGCCATGCTCTCAACAGTTCATTTATCCTGATTTTCTATTGACTTTTATATACAAGCTTATTCATAAATGAGTTTTACTGGTATTTTACGTTGTGATAACTAAATATCCTCAACATGTAAAGTTGCTGGATGTCAGCATGACTGCATAGCTGAAACACGTAGATTTGAACATTGAGTGTATTTTAATAAACTGAAAGTAGACGAATATGTCTAGACCACAATGCATCACAGATAACTGACTTTGAGCATGCACATTAAGAACTAAAACAACTAAAACAGATCAGTTCATAAATATAATGCTGCATTTGAAGCTGGTGAAAATCTGGAACATCTGGGTTTATTGGGTTATTGAAAGGAACTCGTTTCTGACTTGGCACATTAACTCATAACTAAAAGAAACCAGCCAACGTAGATAGTTCAGTAAAAACAGACAAACATATCTGTGACCCATCACCTCAATCATCCTGATATTATTAGCGCTTCCAGAGATATGTTTTAATTTGTTTTCCTAATCAGGATAAACCATTGATATTTGGTCAGAATCTAATTTTTAGTTTATTCTAATGAGGATTTTTTTAAACGTTATAATAAAGCGAAAACATCAAACAATATTTGGRTATTAAGATTTTCCAGCTGTAAAGAAAAAAAAAGCTTTGCTAGCTCACATTAGCTAGTTCATTTTAGGCTTTTCTAAATGGAATTGTGTTTTTTGCAGCTAATGTTAAAAATCTTCCTTACGATTATTTCATTTTAACAACCCATAGATAATGTATTTGTTCATTATATTTTGACAAAATCCAATTGTTGCAAATGTTTTAACCAATGCACTGTAGTTGCCCTTTTCTCCACAGACCACTTCATGACATACCCCTAATTTACATTACATGCGTTAAGGCTCCGCTYCACTGCACTGTGCTGCGCAGGTCGCAGCTGTGCGTTTCAAGTCCAGTTTACACTACCTCCGCTCCGCTCCGGTCCGACAGACGTGCAGGAAGCAAAGCGCGCGATAAATTCAGTGATAAGTGTGGAAGTCACAGCAAAAAATAATTATTTCTGTGAAAGATGAACTCCAAACACAGCTGAAAACAACGATGTAAAGGCTTTTGGTATCTATGTTGAAACTGTCTCGCTGTCGGCTTTCTGAAACTTCTGATTTGAAAATAAAATCCATGTGTATCGTGTGTGTACAAATATGCTTCATGCTACGTTTTCATCTGCTTCCCAAACAGAACGATACAATCTGACAGCATTTGTGTAGAAATATATCCGTATATTTATTAATATAGTTGCAATTTCGACATTATTCCGACAAATTATCCAGCCTAAAAGTGTCTTATTTTGAAAATACGGACGTTGTGCTCGTGTCTTTTCCTGTTGGTGCGACGTAATCTTTAAAAATTGACTCCAGCGCAGCTCCGGCGTCCGGCAAAAAACAGGATCTGTTCTAATTTTGACGGATCGCCGTCCGCTCACAGCCGCCGTGCGCAGCCAGTGTAAACACTCTCACTGATTATAATGGGTGCGTATTTGCTGCGGAGGTCGAACCAGAGCGGAGCGGAGCCGGAACGCATGTAGTGTAAATTAGGGGTTAATCCTCGGCTTGATGTGACGGCTCACTATACATCTCTATATTTTCCGAGAAGTAGTGTCCATGTTTTAATGTGGAGTTAATGAACTGCTGTGCTGAAACAGAGATATGTCATTTTTAATAACTGCAAATCTGGTAAGAGTAAGATGTCCTGGCTTTTCAGCAGCCTTGAACGCAACATTCCATTTGTTAATCTGGAGCGTGAAGAAAGTCTGATAAGTGACAATCAAAGGTGAGCTGATCCGTGCGCTCTGTTCACTATTATGTTCCTACTTGTGTAGTTTAAAATGTGTAAAAAATAACAAAAGATTTTGTGGGTTGTGTCATAGACAACTGTAAATCTTGTTACACACTCATAGATCATACAGTATTTATTTAATTTAAACCATGTTGTATACATTAGTAAATACTTAGAAACAACGTTTTCTTCTAACTTAAGTTGTGTTTTCATTATAGGAGTCACAAGAAAAGTCAGATGAAATTTAAAAAGGTATTCAAAAAYACCACAGAAATATTCAAAAGACTTACTTTTGGAGCAATTTTAGAGCATTCAGTACAAGTTTCAGTCTAATCCAAATATAGGTTAGAGTTAGTGTTACATGACTTACTGAGCATCTGTTTAATATTCTGAATAAAAAAATCATTTGATTTGAACCTGTGTGCGGTCAGACTCTCCCAAAAAGTGATGCTGCCATCAGTGCCCCGGGTCAGGACCCAGGTGTGTGGCACACCTTTGGCTTTGGTGCCCACGCACACGTAGGCATCCAGACCGAAGCCCAGCAGCAGGCTGCACAGGAGAGTAGCGTGGTCCTCACAGTCCCCCTGTCACACAGGAACAGGTCTGGGTTAGGATTCATATGCAAGTAAACTTTATTTCTAAAGCATCTTTCAAAGATACAATCATGAAGTGCTTTACAGAGAGCAGAACAGCTAAAAACAATCAACTCTAACAATTTAAAAAACAAAACTTAACTAAAAGCCGTTCTGAATTAAAATGTTGATTTAAAGATCTTAAAGTTCTGGATGGACAGGGAGGCTTCAGAAGGTCCAAGATTTCCACAAGTTTAAAGGTGTGGAAGTTGGAACAACATCTAAGCTGCTGTTAATAAATTCTGTCCCGACTCTGAGTGTTAAAAACAGGTACGAACAACACTGCACTGAACATGTTTTCACTCGTGACCCCGCACAAGCAGCAGAAATATTACCTGGATGTCTCAAAGTAAAAAGTAAAAGTTCAGCTGTGGGCTGATTAAAAATATCTATACAAACTGTTTAGAAATATTATCAAAACACTTTTTTAGCTAAAAGTTTAAAATGAACAGTTTAAACCTCTTAAATAAAAACATTTGTTTGGTCTGGATTTTTATTAAAGGCGGCGGATTAGTAGGAAGCCGTGTGGTGAGTTTCTGATTGTTTTAGAGCTGGTTGGACCTGATGGTCACTGTAAGCTCTGTGGCATTAACAATTAAACCCTGCTCTGCAGTTCCTGTCAGTGACGGTGAGTAAAACAGCTGACAGCTCTCTGTTTTACAGGTTCAACTCTTCAGTCTTTGCTCTGAAATCACTAATCACTGTAGAGCTGGGCGATATGCCTGAGAAACTTATGATATAAGAGTTTTCATCGGTCTGACTCTTGTTGAACTTAAAATATCTGAAATACTGCCAAACTGGTGACATTTACTCTTTTTGCCAGTTTCCTCTCGAGTTGTTACATCATTTTCTCCTTTCACTCCACGCCTTTCTCTTTTATTTTGAAGCAGTTCTGAGGCACCGTGGTGAAACATGAAACATATTGCACGTTAATCCACAGGATTTTTTTTTGCAAGCTTAGCTTGTTTAGCTGCAGGAATTTAACTGTTGGGGGTTTTGTACTGACCCCATCTYCAGTTTTTAGATGCCTTGTTTCAGTGTAACAGCATCCTAAATCAATAATTAATATCATATTAACCCTACGATGGTGGAGCGATCCAGCAAGCTAGCTCAATTGTGCAGACAAAAAGGAAAARGATACTGCGGTTTACACATTTCAAAATAAAGCACAAGCTTTATTAAATAAAGGTCCTAGCTTATTTTATCAGTTTTTAACTGTTAGTAGTTAATACTCAGTGAAATCATCAATATAATATTGGACACGTTTTCTATTGATACTTAATGTTTATCTCAATATATATCGTTATTGAATTATGGCCCAGTCCTTAATCATTGTACGCTCCTTTATTTCTCTTGCTTTTGTTGGGTAATCAAGACATGACTCGACAAAAATGTGACTGAAGTGGCTCTGAAATGTGTTGATGTTAATAATAAATTTATATAGGCAGTSGTATTTACAGAAACAGCGGGCCTGTTGATGTCTTATTTGTTGCTCGACAAAATGTTGACAACTGACCACAAAAAAAAGCATTTTGGGTGGGGTTCCAATGGGGGTGGGGGGGCTCATTGGTGGGCAAGATGGATAACCCTTCATCAGAGCTTAACAACAAAAAAACCTGAAGCTCCTATGTTGAATAGTTTTTGAGTTATAAGCATTTTTGGACGTCCAGACACCCCCTTTTTAGATGGAGCCCCCATCTCAAATATGAGGTCTATTGTAAAACCATTGGCTGGCACAGTGTAGGTTAGATACATCTCTACTCCTACCAAATTTAATGCTGATTAGTGCAGCCGTTTCTGTGCTATGGTTGATGAAAAATTTCTGGGGAAAAAAATAAAAAATAAAAATAAATAAACTGTATGAAAACAATATGACCCCTGCTTTGCAAGCGGGGGTCATAATTAGGCAAATTAAGTAACTGACTCATTTAAAGTACTACCTCTCTAACCGGACTATTTGTTGGGGTAAATTTCTACCTGCGTCATCTGTTTTGGTCCAGGTTCCTGCAGTGAAAACAAACCGGGTTAAAATACAGCCCAGAAAACCAGCCTGGTTCTTTGAAACAATTCCTGAAGTAGAAATGCACCGTAAGAGACTTTCTGTGGAGCCGTTTCTCAGAAGCTGTAAAGCAGCACATTGTTTAACCCTRGTGGGACTCCTCCAAATAATGAGCCTTTAGTCAGCTCTGCTCTCAGAAGATCACAAGTTAAACTCTGAAAACTTGTGACTAGACTTTTCAGCTGAAATCTTCTTCTTACAACTCCAGTTCAGAGAGATCCGTTAAGAAGCTCTGTCTGGAACTGAGTGCCACAAAAGAAAAAAACAACAACAGAGTTTTACTTGATATTATAGCTCTGTGACAATTTAAAAATGAATTCTGGTATTAAAATTTTACTCCTAGATCATCTTTGAATCAAACAACTTTATTTTTGCTTAAATTTAAACATGAAATCCTAAATTTAACAATAAACTATAAAGTACTCTAATGAAAAGTCTTAAAAAATTGTTTTACTCATATTTTATATAGTAATTTCACTATTTTGCCTTTATCCATACTTYATGAAATTTCATCAGAAATGACAGATATACTAAAAAAGTGGACTAATACAAAACACTGCAACTTGCACAGTTGTAAAACTACTAAAGCTACAATTCTTGTAGACATGATCATTTTCTACACTTCATCTAAAAATAAAGCGACTTTGTCTCAAAGCAAATCAAAATAAAAACAGATTTCAACCTAAATCCTAAAGAACAACTTTAAAACTAAAAATATAATT